GAATGGCTATTGGTTCATCAGCAGAATTCAGCTCTGCCCCTTAAGGTTTTGTGATATCTTTAGACTCATGTTCTATATTTTACAGTGAAATATGGTGGACTTTTTAAAGCAAGGTGGAGTGGAAAAAATAGGATCAAACACCCAAATTCAACCTGCTTGGATGAAAAAGACTTTTGTCATAATTAAGGGAATTAGTGGCTGTGTGTGTGTGTGTGTGAACTTCGTAGGAGTATGTTCTCTGCATGTCTAGACATGTACAGGGGACGGCAAAATGAAGTGTGGAATTGACAACTGACTGGGAAAACAGGTTTCATCAGGTTCCCTTCTACCCTTGTTCCTTTTTATCATTGTTCACTGAAAATTCCTGTCTCTGAGCACATGTAGAAGTCTCATTTACATGGGAGAAGAAAATTTGACTTATAAAAAATTAAATCATTAAGAGTTTGTTTCTCAAGGTTTCTGGCTGGCCGAATCAAAATGGAACCCCAATCTGGGACTATCAAAGACATTATTTTGTGATTCTAAAAAAAAAAAAAAAATCTTTCCTTTCTATGGCTTCTCAATAAGAATTCTTTCTAACTTTATTTTAAAGCTCAACTTTTCATTTTTAAAAGATCAGTGGAAGAACTGATTATGGAGAAGTCACTGAGGAAACAATGGGTGGTGTCAGGAAGAGGGTGACCCACAGGGCAGAATGGGGTGTGAGTCTAGGAAGGCACAGACCAAAGGTGTCTACAGGGCTGCACAATACTCTTGGGGTCCCTAGATCAGAAGGTGGGTGAGCGGAAGCCTACGGAATCCTCTTGATGAATATTCGGGCATCTAGATTCTTGCAGAGTGGAGACGTGCACCTCCTGTGATGCGTGCTCTCACGGCTACCTCCCTTTTCCTTGAGTTTCACATGCCACCTTCGCTGGGTGTTGCAAACTCCAGGTTGGTGACCATTATTTTCTATTCCCAGGATCATGGTGATGTATCAAGTGCTGGGCACAAAGATATTTGATTGATTGATATTTATGCTACTTGGTGATGATCTGGCTACAATTTGAAAGAGATAATGCTCAGAGTTTCAGACTGCAACAGACCATATTTGAGAATCCTACAGAGAGTCTGGAAGATCAGTTTGACTCAATAGCCTCTTATATCTTTTGGAAAGCACATGCCTAAACCATATAAGACAAACAGTCTTGAATTATATGCAGATAGATAGGGATGTTTAGTTTAAAAAAACAAAACAAAACACCTGAAAGTAGAAATGGAAACCAATGGTAATCTCATTCTATTATTGTGTTTTCTCTCTTGGAGCTTCATTTCTCCTTCAGAAGAAAGGTGGGGTTTTTAATCTGATCACATTCCCTCCCCCTCCTACCCAGGTCCTAGTTTTTGAGAGACTTGGACATTCTGAGAGTAAATGGAGGGGTCTTGGCTTAAGAGGTCGTTTCCCAAGAAAACTCCACCCCAATCTAAGTTTTGGTTTAGTTTCTAAATCCTATGCCCTGTCCTTTCCCTGTCCTCTGTAGACAGAGAATAGGACATTAGGGAAAAGACATGTTGTAAGCCAACTGTTCAGCTTGTCAGGTCTCAACCCAATGGCCCATGGCTTTCATAGATGAGGAGATGTTTAAGTATCATGTGACCAACTTTGATGGTATTTTTGGTCCACCAACTCTTCAAAATCATGATAATACAATACAATAATTAGTGTCAGTGGAAAAGAGCTACAGACTCAGTATCTTCCACAATAGGAGGCAGGTGTCTGTCATGTGTTACTGGAGACGTTCAAGGTCCCCTCTATAAGAGGCTACATATAGTGACTCAATCAATTGCTGCCGCTGCTGCTGCTTCTCTTCCTTCTTCTTCCTCCTTAGGGCAGAAATGAGGTTGAACCCAGGGCCTCACGCACACTAGAAAAGCGCTCAACCACTAATTTGTGTTCCCAGCCCTTTTGACTTTCTATTTTCAGACAAAATCTTACTAAGTTGCCCAGGCTGGTGTTGAACTTGTGATCCTCTTGCCTCTGCATTCCCAGTAGCTGGGATTACAGGTGTGCACCACTGCACCTGGCTTAATTACTTCTTTAATGTTTTAATGACTCTTTCTTTTCCCCAGAAATATCTATCTGGCTGTTTTTTTAGTTTAGAATGAACTCACTACCAGGGCTCCCATTTACTGCTGTACTTGAAATCTTGAATACTCCTTTCCAGGTTCTCTGGACTTGAACATTCTTTATAAGGGAAGACTATTTCCCCATTCTCCATGAAAATTATATGTCCCTAGACTGGTTCAAATCCAGTGGCTTCAAAGCAGCCACATGTACGTTTAATAAGTGAGATTTCTAGGAGTTTCAACTCCAGCTCGGGCATCTGAATGGCCTGGATAGTTTTTTTTGTTGTTGTTTTTGTTTTTTTTTCCCAGAAGGCAGATACTAGGGTCCTAACTTAGAAACTTCTAATTCAATGGCTTGGAGGTAGTTCTGGTATTTGTATATTAAGAAAGCTCTATAATTGATATTAAAATATTCTGAGATTGAGATATTGCAAGTTAAAGATATGGCATAGAGGCAAGGACAAGAAATGCAGAAGAGAAAGAAAGGTTGGGGGGGGGAGAAGAAATAGCCACAGAAAGGTCAAAGCAATTAGAGAAGTTGTCTGACAGCAGGAGCATTGGGCTGGGAGGTGCCTCCACCATGAATAATCAAGTAGTGACTCTGTTTCAGCTTCAGGGGTGTGTGTGTTTGGGTACAGATACACACACATAATATGGCCACTTTGTAAAGGTGCTGGGAAAATCAGAGTGAGGCATGTCCCATGAGCCTGGGGATCATTCTTTCACCTCGAACACTTTTTCCATTCCCAGCCTGAGCTCTATCACACACCCCCCAGGGGAGAAAGCACAACACAGCTGCCGAAAATTGGTAGTTGCGGTTGTGTGCCTTTTCCTATTCCCCTCTCTGGCTGTCACTGTGACAGTATTTCTTTGAGTCACATCTGGTTGGTGGGGTATCAATGACTTGTGACGGGGAGAGGGAAGATCACGAAAATACATCAGGGCCATCAGCCAAGTAAATTATACCTATTCCCCCCACCCAGCACCCACCCACCCCCTGCCACCCTGTCCTCAACTTGGTGCCATGAGAGGCTTTTCCATAGCAACTGAAGGCATGTGTTTGAAGCTCATGGGAGGAGGCGCCAAAGCCCACACAGTCGTATAGTCCACGGCCCATGCGTGGAAATTCCCTATGTACAGGAGGATCTTTCCTCCCTCGGTTGGCCAGAGGGACTCACCCAGGTAGAAGGACCAGTTAGAACCACTTGGGAATTTGGTCTGCTTTGCTAAGTATAATAAATTTGCCCAAGTGTAGTAAGTTCAGATTCTTCTCTTTGTCTTCCAAATTGTACAAACCCAAGTTTTCATTGAACATCAGCCTGAAAAATATCTTCCGGGTTTAATTTTAGTTTGAGGCAGAGGCAATACCACCGTTGTCTTCTGTTCAGAGTATTGCAAAACAACCACTTTGCCATGGTACATTCTCTTTCTGTGCACCATTATTCAGTTTAGAATTTAGTTTGTTTTTTAGACAATTGGATCATATTTATGACTGAATCTTCACTACCTAGGAGCATCCCTGGCATGTAAGGACACTCAATAAATGTTTGCTGGGAACAAGGGACTCAGGCAAGTTTCCAGTAGTCATTGACAGAGAGGTACAAATTTCATAGCAACACTGGGCTTTGGCATGTTGACTATAATGTAAAAACTCAAGAAGAGAGGTTTTGAATCAATAGGACATGGTGCTTATAAAAAAAAAACTTTAGAAGATATGATACTGTGCATCACATCTCTGTACTGTTATACAACTCTTCCTTCTGATGCTGTAAGAAGTCAACACCTCTCTTGGCATTATTTCCTTTCTATCTGGCAGCTCTGCTGATGGGGAAGGCATTTGCTTCCCTCTCACTCTTCCCTGCTTTCGTTTGTAGACACTGTTCCCTACGCAGCCTCTTAGATTGTTTTCATGATGGCCAAATAGATTTGACTATTTGCGAAACTCTGGGAGGGATGATATTTTCAAGACTGGCAACCGCTTTATTCGCCCAAAATTCTGGAGAACAACACTGGATCCTGGCAAGTCATTTCTCATGCTGAAGTAGGAGACACTACAAAGAATATATTTTCTGGAGGTTTTACAAATAATGGACTTGACTCTGCCAGAATGGAGACAGCTCAAATACAGTGTACGTATTTGCCGATTGGATAGACTATATACAAATCTGGCACTTCAAGGGCTTGAACATTGGCAAAGTAGTGACAGCTGCTGGATAATAAGAGGAGCATATTTAAAGTAAAAGAAAATATATTATGGATTGGTTGGCACTCAAGGAGTGGGATTTCTAAATATGCAGCACACAACCAGTAGAGTGCTCTGTTAACTGTGAAAACAGTGACAGTTTATTTTTCTAATGAACTATCCTAACATGTTAAGGTAAAACTAATGAGAAATGATGCTACTAATGAGAAATAATGCCATAATGCTACCCAATTCAGTAGAAATCTTTTTGGAAGATCAGGGCCGATTTTTCTCTTTAGCCCTAAGGATTCATCATTGTGCCCTGTTGCTCTCTTTTAGAGAAGGAGGGGGAAAAAGAATAATAGAAGAAGGGACTCCACAATGGGAAGAGGAATTAGACAGAATCTCTGTGCCGGGCATGGCCAGCTCATTCACAGAGCATCCACTGCACATCAGTGTTCTGCAATATAGCCAGATAAACTGAAGATGGTGTTTCTCCAAGGCTGACGGGCAGGGAGAGGAGACTATTTAGATTGGCATTTCATGCTTCGTTTCTCAGGTAAGACCTGGAAGAACTCAGGGATACTTATCAACCATTCCTTCAAGATGTGTGCATGACCCTAGTATCACAGGGAGAAGAGAAAGGGAGATGTGGAGGTCAGGCCCACACCTCTGTACTCCCTGCCCCAAGTGCCCGATTCCAGGTACGTACCCAATACAGCACGTCCGTCCAGCCCTCCATGGTGATGCACTGGAACACTGTCAACATGGCAAAGGCGAAATTGTCGAAGTTGGTGATGCCGTGCTTGGGACCATCCCACCCGGGCTTGCACACAGTGCCGTTCTGACACTGCCGCCCATGGCCTGTCTCTAAAGCACAGGGGGAAGGATCCTCTTCTGCTGGAACATCTCCAAGGTCAGGGGAAAAGAGTGAAGGGAGGGAAAGAAGTGGGCAGAGAAAGAAGCAAAGGCATTAGAGAGATAAGTGAAAGGACAAGGTTGAGGGGATAACCACGGGATCATGCAGAACCAGTCTGAATGAGCCCCCTGCCTCATATATGAATCAAACATAAAGATCTAGGTATTCATTTGAGTGTGCCACCAACTTAGAAGGTCAGTACTTTCAACTAGCTGTTGGAAAAACGGTATTTTAACCTTGGCAATTGATTTCAAGGATAGTAGGACTATTGCCCATTCTGTTGTAATGACTTGGCACCATAGTCAAGTGGCAGACAAAAAGGTAATGATGATGCAACCATTTGAAGTGGAAATTGTTCTGAAAAATGACAGAACGTCTCTCTCCTTCCCTCTCTCCCTTCCTTCCTTCCAAGTCAAGGCTAGAGGGTTCCTTCACATGGTGAGTTAACAGATCCCAGCCATTAATGCTTTGTGATTACACTAGTCCATTTCATATGACATGGTGCATCACCAGGATTCAAGTTACTTCAGCGGGAAGCCTGCTGAGGACGGACAAAGCGTGGGCTGATGGTAGGGGGGAGGCACCCACTGCTGACTGTGTCTTGTGCATGTCAGGTGGGACATTGCAGTGCTGTCCTTTGCTCTCCAGCATTAACACCTTTCAGAAGAGGTGAATCATTTCCTGACCCCTAATAAAGACAGAGTGGTGGTGGGTGACAGCATGAAGACTTCCTAGGGGGCTGGGGATGTGGCTCAAGCGGTAGCACACTCATCTGGCATGCATGCTGGCATGCGTGCGGCCCGGGTTCGATCCTCAGCACCACATACAAACAAAGATGTTGTGTCCGCCGAAAACTAAAAAATAAATATTAAAAAGAAATTCTCTCTCTCTCTCTTAAAAAAAAAAAAAGACTTCCTAGGTGTGGGCAGGACTTTTCCAGGACAAAATATGACATGTCATCTGTGGAGAAAGACAGTGCTGGGAAGAGCTACTAGCAAATTCATGAGTTAAGATGCAATTTATAATTTCAGTGTGCAAATCACTGGTAACTTTAAGACTTGATGGGTCTAAATTATAGTAAAATACTAAGGTAGCCTTGATCCCTGTGAAAGGTGAGAGTGGGAAATTCCCAGCAGTTTGTGAAACCGAGGCTCTTGTACCTGTGGAAAGTGATGACAGTGGCAAAGAGAAGCGACCTCAGTTCTTACAAAGAATTCACAGCAGTGAAAATACAACCACAGAGAGAAAATTTGCTTGTAGTTCTTCATTTAGAGACAAGAGGTCACCCAGGATCTTTTCTTTTTTTTGTAAGGATCAAAACAATGGCAAGTGTGATTAATATGTCTGTGGGACACAGGCTCTGCTTGGAAGATGATTGGTTGGCTCGCTATTTCTGTTTGTGGCTTCTAATTTGAAACTGTTCACTTTCAAGAGGAAGTCAGAAATAGTAATCCTTCGGGGATAATTCTTAGGAGAATGGAGTTGAGTGTGATGGTTGAAAATATATGTCTGGTGTCTCCCTGGTGGCTGTCCTGGGTGCTTGGTTTCCTCTTCCTCCTCCCAGTCCTCACCTCTTCTACGCCACGCACACACCACACAGAGTTTTACTGAAGTATAATTTACATGCCTTGGAATTCATCAATGTAAATGTGCATCACAATTATTTTTAGTGCATCTTCATGATTTTGCAACCAACACCACAATCCATTTTAACAGCTCCATCACCCCTCCCCAGTGCGCTGTCACAGTCAGGCCTTGCCTGACCCCAGCCTCTAACAACCTCATCTGCTTTCTGTCTCCAAAGCTTTGTGTCTTCTCGAAATTTCACATAAATAAAACCACACATTATGTGGCTTTTTGTGCTCCTCTTTTTCGCTCAGCATCGTATTTTTGGGTTCGTCCCTGTTGTTGCCTGGTTCAGTGTAGCATGTTCCTCTTTATTGCTGAGCAGTGTGTTTTACTGTACGTTGATCCACTCACCGGTTGGCGGACATTTGGATTCATTCCAGGTTTGGGCCATTCTGATTAATGCTGCTTCCTGGCTTATTTGCGGCCTGGTGCCCAAACTTGCATGTGGGTCCTTTGTTCAATGACCAAGGTGATGGGTCTGCAATAAGGATCTCTGAGCTGTTTGAGATCGGAATCCACACCATTCGCTTATTCCAGGGTCTGGCTCCCAGGAGGGCTCCAAATATTAAGGGAGCTGAACTGAACTCCCCTTTAGCTACATTTTTTTTGCATGAATTTTGATACTGTGAAATCTTTATAGAGATTGGGGCAGGAGAGAAACTAAAAAGTGAATCCCAAACCTAAATAATACATTAAAAATAGCAGAGCACCTAAAAAAATTCAGAGTTGAGAGACTGGAAGACCAAGAACCAAACATATCATAAATTCTGTTTGGTTCTCACTCATTCTAGAAATAGCTTTCTAGAATGATGTGTTCAGTCACGTGGTAAAGTGCTGGAATGATATGAGAGATGGGACCAAAAAAAAAAAAAGAGGGTGAAAAAAATAAAGGGAAAACCTGCATCTCTTTTTCCTCTATTTTGCTTTTTAGTGGCGGGAAGATGCTGTTGATCTTCACATTGTGACGGCTGATCTGACAGCTTTCCCTGTAACCTCCCTTCCCAAAACAGCAGAAATAAGGCAAAAGGGGAAGCTGCCAAAGCGAGCTCCGAGTGTCCTCAAGGGAGGAAAACATGTTTGGGGATTTTTACAGATACATGTTACAAAGAAAATGGCATCAAGGGAGAGTGATCTCATTAATAAAAGAGAAAGGGATGAGACTCAGAAATATTATCATCCACAGGCTCAAGTGCCTCTCCGCTATTTTAAATCTATCTTGAACAACAATAAAAAAGATTGGAGAACAATTAAGAAGCAATGATGATCCGGTAAAAATAGGAATCTATAAAAAGCACGAAAGGGAACACTTGAAAAATGTGAACACACATAAATCAGCAGGTCCTGCAACAGGGACTCCAGGGTGAGGGGAAAGGAGCTTAAATGGGAAACGTGTTGCAAAAGTGGGAACAGGAGTGGGGGGAGGCACATGCGGACAAAGCAAGTCGAGCTCTATGTTTCAAAACAAATGAAGAAAGGCAAGGTCGTTCTAGAAACTCCAAATTAAGTGGTTTTTTTTTTTCTTTTTTTTTTTTAATAATGGAGGCAAGGATTAGGAGAGATTTTAGAAATGCAGGCAATACCAACAAGAACTGAAATCCTAGGAGAGCTCCAGTTAAGGGTTCCATGGAGAATTCACCAAAGACAAAAACAATTACTTTTTTTAAGGTCCTGACTTTACGGAGTGGATAGAATGAAGGTGATTTCATTGCTAGGTTTTAGCCAACCAATTCCGTTGCCAGTCCCGGGGGTAATCACTGTGCTTGGGAGAGCTATTCAGAGTGACCTGGCTCTGAGAACCATCAGACAGATGGAACAACCAGAAACAAAAGGTATTGGCATATGGTGCTGTATCTGTTGAGGAACCAAGAAGGCGCCTTGCAGATTCCGCAGGGATTAGGGGAAAACTGCCTCTTCTGAGACCATCTCCACTGGGGGCTGTCCACGGTCAGGCAGCCAAGAGGCAGAACAGTGGTTCACCTGGATGGCTCCAGACTCTCTTGTACGGATTTCATAGGAAACATGGCTCAAAGTACAAAGCATTCTAAAATCTAGAAGTCCATAAATTTCACAGTCTGTGAAATAATATCAAAGTGTAAAAAGAAGAATCTAATGGAAATTCCATTAAAAATTAGAACAAGGATTCTCATGGAACTTTTGCAAAATCTAAATATACAGAAAATATGGCGACTCGATTGAAAGTCCAAAATAAAAGGTGGAGGTGGGGGTGGAAAAGACCACTGGTTCCAAAGGTTTTCAAAACTCTCCAAAACCCATTCGGATTGGTTTCAAAGATTGTAGGTTTAAGGTCTTCTACTCCATGGCTGTGTTGAGTATGCCCAGATTTCTGTACCATTTTTTTTCCTCCTCAATGGGATCAGCTGCTGTCTGGGTACACGAGGCCCTAACAGCAGCGGTATCATGTCCTGTTGGGGGCAATGAAGTGGGTCCCTGGAGTATCATCAGATGGCAGGTGTGGGAAGGAGGAGGTGGGTGAGATGACTGCAGAGTGTGTGGAAGAACAGGCTTCTGCAGCTGAGTGCCCTTGACCCCTTTCCTAGCAGGGAGTCTGGCTCCACACAGAGGAGTGAGGTCACCTTCTGGTGGTGCCCCACGTGGCACTTCTCCTTCGAGTACTTCTCTTGTTGTCATGCACTGGCCCACATTCACACAATGGAAGCCCACTTCTCTTCTGAACTTGATAAAACCTACCCACATTGAATAATCTGATGAGTCTTATGGTAGGAAGCAGGAACCTTCTCAGGTCCTTTCTCTGGTTCTGTTTACTATCAAGAACAACATGATCCTAAATTGGCCAGTCCCATTGGTAAAGCCAGGTCTGTCTTCATCCTAAGACCACAGGAGGCCATTGATGCTTTCAGCACCTCAGGTGGCTGTGTCCTAGGGGAGAGGTGCCCATCCTGTGTGTTCTTTGTCTGTAATACCCACCATTTTCTTGTTTTTGCCACTGGGGCCTGATAACAAAGCCTGATGGCTTCCAACCATTATTCAGGGCTGCTGATTCTAAGAGGCCCTTGCAAGATCCTTGCCACCAGTAGAAAACATGCTTCTGCAATTTTCCCATTAGGATGACAGAAATGATGGGCAGATTTTGGAGCAGTTCTTCTTGGCTTATTGGTGAACAGACATTTGATGGCATGGCACGGTTACCATCTTGGGCTCTTTGGCAGAATTTTGCCATTCGCATTTCCCCGTTTCATTTGGTGAAAGCCTCACTGCTAGTCACTGCCAAACTGATGAGGAGTCCTTGAGACTCCACATCTCTGTGACTGCCTGAGGAGTCTGGGTCAAATAGATCATTTCAATACAACTGCATAAACTCTAGACATACTTCAATCAGCTCTTAAGGAGGTTGAGAATGGAGCTCTAACAAAGCCACACCATTAATATGAATTTATTGGTTCAGGACTAGCTATAGATTAAGCTGAATAAAAGGAAAAATTAGAATTAAAGGGGAAATATTATTCGTTATGCTTTGTATTTCTCTAAGCAAGGCTGAAAGTCTCAGAATTTTAATTTTAGAGGCAAGAGAGGCAAGAGCTGTCTTTTTTCCAATTTTAAAAATTACATATTTTAAATCATGATAATTTATTTTATACAATGATGACCCAAGTAATTTGGAAATTATCTCGGGAGTGAATAGCCTCCTCTTAAGCAGACTCTCCATTAAAAAAGTACAAGCAATTGAGTGATTATGTGACTGTAGATTTATAGTAGGGTTTTTGTTTGTTTGTTTTAGGGGGGCACTGTGATCATGTGATAATGACCTAGGTCATTGCAAATATCCATCTAATCCATCCAATCAAACCAGGTCATTCATGCCAAGTAACCTATCTTGGATTCTGAATCATGATTTATCCATTTCACTGTTGGTATATATATGCTATCCAATCTCACTCCCCAATGCAAGAGAGGCAAAATTTAATTTAATGCCTGGGCTGAAAGGGAATGAGAAGCAGCTTAGGCAGAGAGGAAGGAGGTATCCCTTAAAAATCCCGACAGATGCCCTCCTCTCTCCACCAAGATGCCAAACACTAAGATGACATATCTTATTGCTTGAAAAAAGACATATCAACTTAGTACTGCTCACCACTTTGGGGTGGGGAATATTTTTTTCAACAAGGTCTTTGTGTTAAACTGCTTTATATGTCTGTTTAAAGCCTTGTTGATTTCTGTTTAAATATTGTTTAAAAGGTCAAGCTGAGATGTTAGAAACTTAAGATAGAAGTTTGTAGCATATCCCATGAGCCAAAGCTTTGGTGCCACTCAGGGAAGTGCTTAATGAACCAGCATTGCTTGTTAAATATATTTGATTTATGAAAGGAACACAAAGAGAGGAGCCTCTGGAAGGAAAGGATTGATAGCCATGAGGTAGCGCTAAACTTCCTCCTTGAGGAATAGAAATTTGGCTGCTGGTAAGGGAGTGTGATTCTATGCCTGCCCTCTCATTCACCCTGGTGTAGGGGCTCAGGGGCTTTTGCCCATAAAAGGAGAAGAAAACATTAATTGCAGAAAAGCCATGATCAGCCCTAAGAGGGTGAAAAGACCTCAGGGCTGTGATGGGTGGTGTGTTGGCTGAGGGGTGGTACTGGCTTCCAAGAAAGGCCTTTGATGAGGAGTCAACTGACATGCAGATGCAGCAGAGACACAGAGGTTAATACTGATTCTTAAGTTATTCAGAATCAGCATCAAAAGTGAAAATTTGACCAATGATAAGTTCTTAAGTCTGTGTTTCTCAAATTGAATAGTCATTCAAACATGTGCTGGACAAAGCTTGCATTTGGCTGTTTTAACAGATCTCTTCCAGTGAAAACAGAAATAGAACATGAGAGGAAAAGAATAAGGAGCACTGCTTCTCTCTTAGCATGCTGGGACATGGGCCTTTGAATGAAGGAACCTCCGGCAGCTTGGCTGGACAGGTGACAGCAGTGCTTCCAACCACACAGTAAACAGCTAAGAGAAAACCAACAGCCTCTTAGGAACCTGCCACCTGGCACCCTGCTCTTACCTGCTATGCCCTCCTGGTTATAGCACGTCTTATGCATCTTCCCCATGAAGAGCTCCAGGCCGATGATGGCGTAGATGATGATGACAAACAGCACGAGCAGGGCAATGTGCAGCAAGGGCACCATGGCCTTGATGATGGAGTTCAGGACCACCTGCAGACCTGTAACGGCAGGATCATCAACTGTGACAACCCTGAGTGTGCCGGCCTCCGCTGCCGGAGCCTGGTGCTCCCTCAGATGCCACTCAGGCAAGATCTCTGGCAGTCTTCTTAGCAGCTTGGAGAGTGGGGTATCATGAGCCCTATTTTTTTTAAGATGAGGAAACAGAGGCTCAAGGTCATATAGTCAATGAGCCACAGAATGGGAATCTAAATCCAGGTTGGCCTGCCTCCCAATGTGTCCGGGAGGCATGTCCAAATAAAAGGACTGGCAGAGGCTGTACCTCCAAGGGGAAGAACACATGATTTTCATCCATAACTATTCAATCTGCTATATCCCATCTTAGAGACAACCTAGCACCTTTCTCTCTCAGAGCAAAGTTCAGTACGGTGAGGACTCACTTTGGCCATGAAGGACTTATTTATCTCTCAAGGTTTCTTCATGATGGGATTACCAGAGCCTATGGGTGACCCATCTGCTATAAACCACAGATCAGCCTGGTTGACAGGTATCCAGGAGGGTAGGACTTCCGTTGCTGAAAGTGACTCACCACCAGGGTACATGGGGATGGTGAGACCTCTGAGACAGGGCTGGGGAAACAGCTTGGAAGGTACCTTCTCTGAACTGAGTGAGTTGACAAACCACTCTCCACTAGGATATCCTATCAGGCTGAATTCACAGAGGGAGCTGGCAGAACATTATACTTTCCTTTCGAATGACCCACAGAAAGGGACTTCTTTTTTAGAAAGGCATAGAGTTTTAGTTTGGGAGGATAAAAAAAAAAAAGTTCTGGAAATGGTTGAAAGTGGTGGTTGCACAACAATGTGAACAGATTGAGTGTCACTGAACCTGTACAATTAAAAATAGTTAAGATGGTAAACTTTGTTAGATACTTACTACCATAATTTAAAAAAAAAAAAATCTAAAAACTATCCAGAATCCGGGAGAGTGGGAGACACACAAAAAACCCCATGGAACATGGGGGTCTTGTCAGTGTCCTCAAGGTCTGTAGGTTTGTTCTTTGGTCTAGGGGGAAGGAGGACCCCCTTACTTACAGGCTTGATCGTTTGTAGTGCTAATCATTGAAAGGGGGTGCTGCAGGCTTCATTTGCCAATGGTGGGGAGGTGGTTACCAGGAGGTCACCCCAGATTACACCCAAACACAGTCACTCAAGAGCTCTGTGCCCACAGCAAGTGCACCAAATCTTCAAGACCCAGGGAGAAAGGTGAAAAAGGCAGCTTCCCCTTCCTTCCATAGACCAGTTGTGCAGAAAGTCACCTTGTGGGTCTCCTCTGACACACGTACCAGAGTATGCACACCTCTGAGTCCCAAACAGGAGTCACTTTAGTGTCCTTACCTGACTCCCCCACCTCCCCAGTGTTCTCTCACGCCAGCCGTGGAGGTATTACTCCACTTCTCGGGGTCTGGCGATCCCACCCACTACCCTCTTCACTGGGTAAACCAAGTCGGTGTCACCCTCCCTCCGACCCCGAGGCAGCCACTGGTGCTTTGAGCTCTGGTGGAGTGGTGTTCTCAAGGCTAATTAGCAGAATTCTCCCTAGCTATTAAGCCAAGCTGGGGAGAGGGGGAAAAAAATAAAAAGAGAAAAGCTGGAATAATTTTACCTGTGAATTAATGAGAGTGCTTTGCAGCCTCCCATTAGAACAAGATGTTTTCGGATCCAAATGATTCCATTAATTAGCAAGTTGTACACACATTAGTGTTAAAGTATGCGAAGCCTTGAAGAAAGTTGAGCCGCAAAGCAACTTTGAGAGGTGGCTGCTGGGGGTAGAGACTTCCAAATGCTACTCACAGCAGGGGGAGGGAAACCCCCACATCCTGAAGCCCAGGCCACTAGGGAAGTGTTTTATCTGGACTTCAGTGCTATTATGGATTGGATCTTGAACATCCCCCAAGGCTTGGTCCACAGTACAGCAATATTCAGAGGTGGGGCCCTTGTGAAGTGATTGAATCATGAGGGGTCTGACCTCATCAGGAGCTGATGGCTTTATTGGGAGGTGGTGGAAACACTAGGAGATGGAGTTTAGTTGGAGGAAGTGGGTCACTGGGGGTGTCCCCTAGAAGGGTATATCTTTTCCTTGGCTTCACTGCTTCTCTGCTTCCTGGCTGCCATGAGGTGAGTAGCTTTGCTCCACTACACCTGCCCCCACCATGATGCTGTCCTCACCAAAAGCCCACAACAATGGAGCCAACTGACCAAGGACTGAAACTGAGCCTGAAAAATAAGCCTTTCCCCCTTTTAAGTCATTTATCTCATGCATTTTGTGACAGAAATTGATCAACACACGTGCTAAGCCTGAAAGGCAAGAAATGGCAGGCAAAGTAGACAAAGTCGCCGTGGGCAAGGAGGTCCCCTCCAGGCTGCAGCCAGAGGCTTTGGTCCAAGGGCCACCTCAGGCTTCTGATATCTTCCTTTGCTCTTAGGATGAAGACCAAGATTCTCTTGTGCCCCACAAGGTCCTATAGGGCCTGGCCCCACCCACCTCCCCACCCACCTTTCTACATTCCCAGTCCCTGCTCCTCTCTCTGGGTTCCAGTAAAACAGCGTTGATTTTTGCTTTTTGGTTTTCATTTTTGTTTTAGCTGCAGATATGCTCTACAGTCATCCTGTGTCTCTATAGCCACAGAATGATATTTTAGTTAATGATGGGCCTCCTATACAATGGTGGTCCCAAAGGATTATAATGGAGCTGAGACATTCCTCTTGCCTAGTGACACTGTGGCTGTCATAACACTGTATCACAAGCCATTACTCATGTGTCTGTGGCGATTGGAGTCACGTAAAGCTAAAACACATACAATTATGTGCAGTACATAATACCTGATAATGATAAATGGCCCCATGTCTGGTTTATGTATGTACTTTTATTGTTATTTTAGGGTCTACGCCTATTTATAAAGAAAGTTCACTGTAAATAGTATGCCGTGTGATCCTGGCAGCAGCTGAGAGGCTACATCCACTGACCCCGTGCCATCTAGGTTTGTGTAAGTGCACTCTAGGACGTTCACATGTAGAAGAAATGGCCTAAGGTCATATTTCTCAGAATGCCACCTCCTGGTGAAGTGATTTCAATGTGTACTCCCTGCACAGGGCCACCACACATGCTGTTCCCTCTGCCTGGGACACCTTGGCCTATTCCTTCTTCTACATCCTTCAGCTCTCAGTCCAACCATCTCCTTCCCCAGGGGATCCTTCCTTAAACTCCCAGACCAGAGAGGTTTCCTTTGTTCTGTGTCTTCTCGGATTCATTTCCGTTTCTTTGGTGCACTCACCTTGGTTTGAAATGGTATGTTTATTAAAGTGATTTTAAAACATTTATATCTTATCTGTCCACATGAGGTTGAGTTTCATGAAGATGAGGACTATGCCTGCTTTTCTCGTGGTTTTATCACTAAGGTGGCTGGGTGCAGAGCACTCAGTAAATATTTACTGAAGAAGTGACAAAACTTATTCAAATAAACGCTATTGCTACTATGGAGCATGAGTGGGCTTTGCCACAATGAAGTCTGCTTTACAGGCTAGTGTAGAGTGGACAGGTGAGTGTAGAGCCTGCAGAGGAGGACAGAGGCTTTGAGCAGCCTTCAAACAGGCCAAATGGGATTCAAAGCAGCGGTGGGCTTCATTACAGCTATCAGTGATGCCACTGAGTTCCTACACAGCGCTCCGTTCCTTAAGTCTCCATCTGGGTTGGTGGCTACACCAACTACCTGAGCAACAGGCCAGAAAACAAATTCCTCAGATCCCTCCCTCCAGTCAGTTACCAAATTCTGCGAGTTTGATTTTGCACTATCTTTAGACATGCATAAATTATTTTTTTACTACATAAATAATGCATGCTAATTATATAGAAATAGAAAATACTTACTAAGGAGAAATTAGAAAACACAGTGGGGAAGAAGCAGTCACTCATTGTCCCACCACTGTGAGCCTTTTGGTATATACTTTGGGCCCATGACTGCCCCCCCCCACACACCCGTATCCTCTTGGTGCTTGTCATTCAGTTAAACAGCCTCCCTACTTTCAGGTTTGCCCTGTCTTCATGCTGGAGTTAGAGTGCTTTTCCTAAAATACACAATTTGGAAAGTGTCACTTTTGAAAGTGTTCCAGTGATTCCTCATCACCTACAGGTCAAGCTCACCTCCTTCTTCCCAGGTTTGGTCTCCTACCAGTCCCAGTTTCCACCTTACACTCCAGCAATGCGCTCGACCATCTGGAGGTCTCTGGCTTCCAGCCTCCGTACCTTGGTGCATGCAGTCCTGCCTGCCTGGAATGCTGTGCCCTGCCTGTCTGAGAGCTCCTTGAGTCTTGTCATGTCTCCTCATCTCTGATCTCAGGCACACAGCAGGGACCCAAGGCACATGAAGCTAAGTCACACCCGTAAACACAGATGCTTTTGGAAGACAGAAACCACAATGATGAAGGAGTTGCAGGCCATGCCATTCAATGATCATTAGAAGAAACTGAAGGTGTTTTGTTAGGAAAAGGTTAAGACTCATGGAAAGGAAGAGGATATCAGCAGGGAGGGTGTTGCCAATAAAATTTTCATATGATTTTAAACTGCTTTTTTGAGAAAGGGATAGTTTCACTGATTTCTCTACAACCACGGAAATGGAACTAGAATCAACTAGAAACTATCCAGGAATGATTTAAATCAACACAAATAAATGCTGTCCAAGAAACAAACCTACCTGAAGGAAGCCTGAGATAGTGGGTTCCTCATCTTCAGGGGTATTCGTACACTGACTGGAGAGCCCTTGGGGAAGGGCCATGGTGGGGATTCAGGCATTGGGTAGAGGATGGCTACGGGACAGTGAAGTCCTATAACCTTGTTAGCTTTTGTGTTCTGAAGACTCACCATGGGCAGGAGCAGTTCTTGATGCTCTACTTAGATTGCTCCATTTCCTCTTGGCAACAACTGTATGGTGTAGGTGCTGTTATTAACCACAGTTGAAAGGTGAGAAAAATGAGTCCCTAGAAAA